CCCCCCTCCCCGTATAGAGCAGTGGAAAACAAAGGTGTGCTTGTCCTCACTTCTTAAAACCAGCTCTGAATAGGGCAGCAGGCACCACCAGAAGCTGATTATGGACTCTTTAAAGTTAGATTTGATTTAATGTCCTGCTCCTGCCTCAGCTGGACCACGGGGCACAGGAATGTGGCTCGCAGCTAGGATTGGCCCGCTTAGCCTGGGGTGGATTCATCGTGTCTATAAGGCCAGACAGGAGAAACAGAGCGGTGCCACATTCAGCTTGCCCATCTGGGGAATAAACACGCTGCCTGCAGAGGGGCCACCATCCAATAAAGACCCTGACAAAGGCCTGCTTCTTGCCTAAGAATGCCAAACAACATGTGATCCCCCTTAGGGAAATAAATTCTATGTCTGTTCCTCGTAGCCCTCCGGGTCAGAAATAACGCCTGGGGAACTTTTGGCACATGTCCTGCCAACGCTGTCATATGCTGCGACAACTTATTAGTGACAGTGAAGTCCGAACAATCATACGCTTCGGTTGTAATGTGACAGTTTTTTTCCAGGAGGACTCGTGACATGCACCTAAATACACCTTCTGACACGACAACTCTCCGGATTCAATGACACTACATGCGCCAACTAGAATGGCACTCAGAGAGCCTAGATCGATGCCAATGATGCATTCACATGCTCCTCGGATTGTCTGTTTCCCCGAGTTGGGAAGTAGTTTTTCGTTGTATTGTTGAGCCTTAAATCATAATGTTGAAAGAAGATTTGTTGGGGGATTCGAACAACACCTTGATATCCATTTTCAAGTTGTTGAGACTTGAAGGGCGTTCTTCTTAGTTGGGAAATCATTTTTTGTGGGTATTTCGACACCACATAATTGCAGCACAAATGCCCCATCTTGCCATTGTAACGAACTCCGTAACTCTGTTATTTCTTGGCCCATGCTACAATCTCCTACCATGTTTAATAGAAAAACATTGGGCCAAAGGTTTGTCCATAATCCTGCTGACAGACAAACAGAGCCGAAAACTTAACCTCCTTGGCGGAGGTAATAATAACAGTCAGTAACAGTGAACTAATCCAGTATACCATTTCATTCAGGGCTTAAACACACTGAAAGTATAAAACTATCCTTGAGAACATTGAACAACATTCCATGTAGTGCATAGAGAACATTAGGGAACACTTACTGAATCAGCTATAATGAAACTAACCTTTCTGTCATCAGGATTTTATTTGGAATTTCCAAAGGAAACATTAATGCACCTAAAATGCAGCAAAGGGCAGCATTTCTGCTTCCAATTCCTTCCTAAATTGTTCAGTAATCTTACTTGGTTTGCATGGCTGGCCCTGACACCGAAAAAGGAATAATGGCTCATTGACATGCATGCTTCGGACCCACCTCAAACGCAGCTCACTTCACATTTCTGTCAGTCACTGCTAAGTGCAATCTGGCTGGGGCTTGACACTTAAGTAACTGTGGGGTGTTTAGTGGCTCACTGTGGGTAACCTCGCAACTCTTACAGCTAGCGACTGACAAGTAAGAGATTGCATATGTGCATCCTTAAGGGGTGTCACTTTTAAATATAGATGTGAAATCACTCTTGGCAGTTTAGGATCAAATGTATTCATTGGAGTACAAAGTAGTTTTTCTCATGTTTTAAACATCTACAATGGAGTTAACTTTAGCCCCCCATTGATACTTTGGTAATTAGTATAAGCTGCAGCAATAAGGCCGTGGGAACAGGTTGTGTCAAACACAATAAAGCTGATATGGACGTAGTGAGTTACAAAGTCTCAGGACGAAGGTTCAATTTTCATATTCTTTGCCAATAAATAATACAGTGCTGTTTTAAGAGCAGCCTATTTTCTATTTCAGAAAAGCTTGATTGTGACCCTTGGCAATTCTCCACCACATTCCTACTGCTCAAGCTAATCACCCTAAAACAAATCATTATGCATCTCAAACAGATTAAATGAGCAGAGGTTGCTGGCAGCTAATCCAACTTGCATTAAACTTTACCGGCACAAATATTCCTTCTATTTTTACAAGGGGTTAGTTTTGTATCAAGCAAGGCAAGGCTAGTTTATTTATAGAGCACCTTTCCGCACAGGGCAACCCAAAGTGCTTTACAAAATAAGACAAGACATTTAAGAACAATATACAGATGAAGCACATTATAAAAAAGGCATTTTAGAAACAAGCATTTAAAAAGCAAAGTTAATCAAATCAACACAATAGGTATAAAATACATGGATAAAAAGCCATACTGCAGTTAAAATGTGAACAACTCATCCAAATGCAGCAAAAGTTTTTAGTCTCGATTTAAAAATATCAACAGTTGCAGCTGACCTGCAGGATTCAGGGAGTTTGTTCCAGATGGTCGGGGCATAAAAACTAAATGTGCTGCTTCTCCTTGTTTAGTTCTGACTCTGAGAGCAGACCCGTCCCAGCAGACCTGAGACTCCTGGATGGTTCATATTTTTGCAGGAGCTCGTTAATATAAGTTGGTCCTAAACCATTTAGTGCTTTAAAAACCAGTAATAGTACTTTAAAA